AAAGAGATGGAGGGAGGGAGAGAGAGAGAGAGGGAGGGAGGGAGGGAAGGAGGGAGAGAGAGGGAGGGAGGGAGAGAGAAAGGGAGAAAAGGAGGGAGGGAGAAAGAGGAAGGGAAGGAGGTAGAGACAGAGGGGGAAGAGGTAGCGAGGGAGGGAAAAGAGATGGAGGGATGGAGAGAGAGGGGGGGAGAGAGGGAGGGAAGGAGGGAGAGAGAGAAAGGGAGGGAGGGAGAAAAGGAGGGAGAAAGAGGAAGAAAAGGAGGGAGAGACAGAGAGGGGGAAAGAGGAAGCGAGGGAGGGAAAAAGAGATGGAGGGAGGGAGAGAGAGGGGGAAGAGAGGGAGGGAGGGAGAAAGGGAGAGAGAGGGAAGGAGGAAGAGAGAGGGAGTGAGAAAGGGAAGAAGGGAGAGGGATGTTATGTCCTGAGGACTCTAGGAGTTCTCACTCAGGTCCATTCACTTTGTTCTCCCCTTTACCCATTGGTTGGTTCTCCCCAGCAGCCAGCTATAAAAGCAGGCTGCGGGGTCCGACCAGTTGCTGATCGCTGCGAGCCAGTTCCAGGCGTGGCAAGCACGGTCAGCCCTTTATTGTTATAATAAAGTATTGTTGCACTCATGCTCTGGTTCAGCCTCTCTTTTCCCAAACTTAACACTGGCGACGAGGATGGGATGGCTACCAGAAGCACCATGCAACCGCTGAGTCACTAGCCGCCGATCCGCAGCCAGAGAGAGCGATCGGCCGGCGATAAGAGCAACGCTGATCCGCAGCCAGAGAGAGCGGTCAGCAAGCAAAAAGAGCAAACAAAAAGAGCGAACGCTGGTCCACCGACAGAGAAAGCGGCCAGCAAGCAATAGAAGCGAACACTGATCCGCAGCCAGAGAGAGCGGTCAGATCGAAAGTTAGAAGCGTCTGTAGCCGCTTGTTAGCCCAGCTACAGGGAAAGTGAAGCGCTGCGAGCCGCAGCCGCTCATTGTTTAGGCGCGAAATTCAAACGGCTGTCATTTGAATTTCAAACCTAAAAGGCACAGCACAGCGCTGTAGTCAAGTCACTGACGCCCACACAGGCGCGAATTTAAACGCCACCAACGGCTGATGGCCAAACGTGGCTAACCCAGAGAGAGAGAGAGGATTGCGAAAAGCCTCTCCAGAGCTGAAATCACTTGCCTGCCACAGGCACTAGAACATTTTTCTGCTGCCCCAGAGAGATTTTTTCCACAGGTTGTTCTACCGGCCCCATCACCATGAACTCCAATCCAGTCTTCCCAGCGTTCAAACCGGATGAGGAGAAGTGGGAATCATACAAGAACCGTTTTAACCATTATATCGATGCAATTGGGCTTGCTGATGCTGGAGAACATCGGAAAAAATTGTATTTCCTGATCTACTGTGGAGCCATCGTCTTCGATACTGCCACAGCCCTCGTGGCTCCACGTGAGTTGAAAAACGTTCCTTGGTCAGAGCTACTTGAAATCCTCACTAACCACTATTCTCCCAGGCCCTCACAGATTGCCAGGAGATTCACCTTCCGTATGAGGAAGCAAGCGGACAAGGAAACCATTAATCAGTATATGGCCGCTCTCAGAACAGCAGCATTGCATTGTGGGTTTGGAACCTACCTGGAGGACATGCTCCTCGATCAACTAGTCTGCGGGGTCAAGGACCTACACCTTCAAAGGCGCCTCCTCGTGAAAAAAGACCTCAATCTCGCACAAGCAGTCGAGGAGGCCTTAGCAGCAGAATTGGCAGCGCACTCAGCCACCGAAATCCATGGCCCGACTGCCAAGCTGACATCAATCCCTGTCCACTCCGAGGAGGTGGTAGCAGAGGAATCCCTGAGTGATGAAAACGACGTCCACCGCCTCTCCAACGACAGACGGCCGCAGGTAGGAGCCAAACAAGAAAACATCGGTCCACCCAAGCACATCACCCTGTGCCTAGCCTGTGGTGGATCTCATCTGAGGGCCACCTGCAAGTTTAAAGGAGCCACCTGCAATAACTGCCATAAAAGGGGGCACATCGCGAGAGTCTGCCAAGCTCCCCAAGGCTCAACACAAAGGCACCCCCCCGTCTCACACTCGGGGCCGCAGAGGCAAGTATTGAACTGTCGCACACATCACCGTGCCAAACACACTTGCCACACTGTTAGTAAAATCTCTCTCTCCGTTTACTTAGAAGGTAAACCGTGCCGCATGGAGGTTGACACAGGGTCAGCGCTCTCAATTATCTCGTGGAACACCCTCAAGAGGCTCCAGCCCAGCCTATCTACTAGCCGGCTCCAGAAGTGCCAGTTTAGCCTGAAGGACTACCAGGGGAGGACCATTCCTGTGATCGGCAGAGGCAAGTTCCTTGTCAGTTTTAAAGCTTTTAAAGGTCACCTACCTCTAGTGGTAGTTAACGGCAATCTCCCTACCTTATTGGGGCTCGATTGGTTTCCCCATCTCGGCCTAGGGCTAACAGGAGTCCATGCTGTCTCAACCTCAGACACTGACTCCTTATTCACTGATTACTCAGATGTATTCAGCGAGGAGCTGGGGTGTTATAACGGTACCCCAATATCGTTCTCAGTCGACCCCCAGGCAGTCCCAATCAGGCTAAAACCGCGTAGGGTCCCATTCGCTATTCGGCCAAAACTAGATGCTGAATTGGATAAACTATTAAAACAAGGGGTCATTGAGCCAACAGATTTCGCCAAATGGGAGATGCCCATTGTCACACCCCTCAAAAAAGACGGTAGCCTGAGAATTTGCTCAGACTACAAGACCACAATCAATAAGTTTCTACAAGTTAGCGCTTACCCAGTGCCCGTCATTCAGCATTTATTACACACTTTTGAACCTGGCAGCATTTTTGCCAAATTGGACATGTCTCAAGCGTATCAACAGTTCCCTGTTGACAACCAAACAGCGGAACTCCAGACCATTGTCACTCACAGGGGTGCTTTCAGATGCAAGCGTCTCCAATTTGGCGTAAGTGTTGCCCCAGGTATCTTTCAATCCCTCATGGAGCGGATTTTACAGGGCCTCCCTGGAGTAGTACCCTACTTCGACGACATCTTGGTCTCGGCCAGGGACAGACCCCAACTCTTCCAGAGAGTTCGAGCAGTGTTAGAGAGGTTCAGACAGCATGGCCTCAAATTGAAAAAAGAAAAATGCGCCATTGCCACTAGACAGGTGGACTTTCTGGGTTATAAAATTGACGCCTCAGGCATTCACCCCCTGGAGTCCAAGGTTAAGGCAATTCACGAGGCACCCACTCCAACCTCCAAAACGGAACTACAGGCCTTCTTGGGGCTATTAAACTTTTACGTGTCTTTCTTGCCCCATAAAGCATCAGTAGCTGAACCCCTACACAGATTACTGGATAAAAAGTCACCTTGGCACTGGGGGCACAAAGAAGACCATGCTTTTCACGCCGTGAAATCACTACTCACGTCAGAGGCGGTACTTATTCAATTCGACCCAAACCTTCCTTTAGTGCTGGCAGCAGACGCATCCCCTTTTGGAATTGGGGCAGTATTAAGCCACAGGCTTCCCAATGGCTCCGAGGCTCCCATTGCCTTTTTCTCCAGAACGCTCTCCGCAACAGAGCGTAATTACAGCCAGATCGATAAGGAAGCTCTAGCAGCTGTTGCAGCAGTGAAAAAATTTCACGAATTTCTTTTTGGCCATTTTTTCGAGCTGGTCACAGACCACAAGCCCCTCCTGGGTCTACTAGCTGGAGACAAACAGACCCCTCAAGTCCTTTCCCCTAGGATGACGAGATGGACCCTCTTCCTAGCAGCCTACTCCTACAGACTCATACACCGGCCAGGTAAAACATTGTCCCACGCTGACGCTCTCAGCCGCTGTCCCTTGCTGGCCCCGGCTGAAGACCCTGCTCCTGTCCATGCTATTTTCGAGGTAACACAATTGGACCTCCCCATCACTGCCCTTGACATTGCTGCTAAAACCAAGGCAGACAAAACGCTCGCCCAGGTGCTCGACTGGGTGAGGAGGGGGTGGCCGGGTGGCAATGTTGAAAACAAATTCTCACCTTTCAAGACCCGCATGCAGGAACTGTCCAGTTTGCAGGGCTGTCTACTGTGGGGAACTCGAGTGGTCATCCCGACCTTACTGCGTACCCGAGTCCTGGAGGCGCTGCACGAGGGACACCCTGGCATCGTGAGAATGAAGGCATTAGCACGCAGCTACGTATGGTGGCCAGGCCTCGACGAGGATGTTGTCAGATGGGTAAGTTCCTGCAACATTTGCCAGGAATCCCGTCCTGCTCCTCCTATTGCCACCCCTACTAAATGGGAGAGCGCCAGCACTCCGTGGTCCAGAATTCACATCGACCTGGCCGGCCCCTTGCATGGGAAGATGTTCCTAGTGGTCGTGGACGCCTATTCTAAATGGATTGACGTTGCACAGCTATCCACGACCACCACACAAGCAATCACCAACGTATTAACACGCCTGTTTGTTACACACGGGCTACCCGACTCCATTGTCTCTGACAATGGCCCGCAGTTCGCATCAACCGAGTTCAGCCGTTTCGCTGCCAACCTGGGTATCCGCCACATTTTCACAGCCCCATTTCATCCTGCCAGTAACGGATTGGCTGAAAGGGCCGTCAGGACCACTAAAGAAGCCCTGGCTAGGTTCAGTAAGGATGACTGGCACCACAAACTCTCGCGTTTCCTGATGAGCCAGCATTCAACTCCTTGTTCAGTCACCAACAAGTCCCCAGCTGAGCTCCTGATGGGCAGGCGTCTGAGGACTGTATTGGACAGACTTCATCCACAATACTGCCCTGACTCTCCCCTCGCTTCCACATCGGGGGTTAGACATTTTATCTTACAGGAGCCAGTATTCGCGAGGAACTTCGCTGGTGACCCCCTGTGGATCCCGGGCGAGATCGTGGCCATCACCGGACCAAGGTCGTATCGGGTCAGACTGGAGGACGGCCGGGTCTGGAGAAGGCACCTGGACCAGCTGCGTATGCGCCTCAGCACCCACACTAGCAGGGACCCAGAATCACAAAGCGACGGGAGGTCTCAGCATCAACCCCACATCCACATCCTACCCGGCGACCAGTACACACCAACCGTCGGTCCAGAAAACCCGAGCACGGACAGCAGCGCACAGACGGTGGACCAGCCCGATCCAGTCTACGGGAGCACGTCCCCAGTGACCAACCCTACGAGTCCCGGGCCTGCCCGAACCAAGGGGCATGTTGGTGACACTCACCCGGCTCTGCCTTCCCAGACAGACTCTGAGCGGACAGTCAGCGTTCCAGAGCTGCGCCGTTCCGGGCGCCAACATAAACCTCCTGCCTACCTCAAAGACTATGCGTGTTCGCATCTGGGGGGAAGGGGTGTTATGTCCTGAGGACTCTAGGAGTTCTCACTCAGGTCCATTCACTTTGCGGGGGCGTTCTCCCCTTTACCCATTGGTTGGTTCTCCCCAGCAGCCAGCTATAAAAGCAGGCTGTGGGGTCCGACCAGTTGCTGATCGCTGCGAGCCAGTTCCAGGTGTGGCAAGCACGGTCAGCCCTTTATTGTTATAATAAAGTATTGTTGCACTCATGCTCTGGTTCAGCCTCTCTTTTCCCAAACTTAACAAGGGAGAAAGGGAGGGAGGGAGAGATGAAGGGAGAGAGATGTGCAATTTGAAGCAAGGTTGAGGGAATAAAAAAAAAAAAAAGCTGACAACAAGGATTTTAGGCCAAAGGCTTGTTGGTTCCAAAGGACACAAAGCAGAGAATTCTAGAATTCCTTCCAAAGTGGAAATGTAACTACAGTATGTTTAAAGCATGAAAATAGAAATAGAGATTCGCTTTACAGTTGTCCCAAAGGTGCTTTTTTTTCAAGAGGCAACTGGACTTTCTGGTTTTTCTTTGAAGACATTTCGCTTCTCATCCAAGAAGCTTCTTCAGCTCTGACTGGATGGTGGGGAAATGGAAGTCAGAACTGAAGAAACTTCTTGGATGAGAAGCAAAATTTCTTCAAAAAAATCCCAGAAGGTCCAGTTTGCCTCTTGAAAAAAGCACCTTTGAGACAACCATGACCTGGACGACTGAGAATCTCCATAGACAGTAGCTTCAGTTACACCACAGCTAGCCAAGAAATCAATTCACTCATCTCTCCAACTACTGTTGCTAATGTGCAAATACAAAAATCTAGAGTTGACTTTTAAACTGGCAGATAATTCTTAGGTAGAAGTAACTTCTGGGTTGAAAGTTGAAATGACACCAGCAGAATTAAGATCAGACCGAATTTGTTCAACCATGACTGTGCTGTGTCTGAGGTCACTTGGGAATTATTTTAAACTTCCTCTGTGTTTAATAATACAGTCCCCATGGAGATCCTGTTCTCTAATGTGAATGGTTTTAAAAGACACATGCTGTCCAACAAACAGGTCCTCCCACCAGGTAAATCAATTAGAAAAAATAATAATCCCCTCCTAGGAATCTAATCATCTCATTTAAACACACTTGGGTTTGCTTGCAAATGGCTCACCTTCTCCTCAATCAAGGGTCTTCAAACTTGGCAAGTTTAAGACTTGTTGACTTCAACTTCCAGAATTCCTGAGCTAACATGACTGGAAGAGGAATTCTGGGAGTTGAAGTCCACAAGTCTTAAAGCTGTCTATCTGTCTATCTATCTATCTATCTATCTATCTATCTATCTATCTATCTATCTATCTATCTATCTATCTATCTATCTATCTGAAAGGTCCTCAAACTCCCAGAATTCCTGAGCTAATGACTGGAGGAGGAATTCTGGGAGTTAAAGTCCACAAGTCTTAAAGCTGTCAAGTTTGAAGACCCCTGATATCTCTCTCTCTCTCTCTCTCTCTCTCTCTCTCTCTCTCTCTCTCTCTCTCTATCTATCTATCTATCTATCTATCTATCTATCTATCTATCTATCTCAAGGGTCTTCAAACTTGGCAAGTTTAAGACTTGTCGACTTCAACTCCCAGAATTCCTGAGCTAACATGGCTGGAGGGGGAATTCTGGGAATCAAAGTCCACAAGTCTTAAAACTGTCAAGTTTGAAGACCCTTGTCCTAAATGAATCTCACAGGAATGACATAAAAGGAGACTGGGTACGAAGAAAGCAAAAATGAAAACAATAATAATTGTAATTGGCTTTTGTAAAATGAAAAACAAAAACCCACTGAAAGGAGAGAAAGACAATTTAGAATTAAGTAACACTTGAATGTCAACAACTCCTAACCCCTTTGAAGATGAGGCTGGTTCCGGACTTGATGGTGTCACCATTCAGGTTTCCTCTCTCAGCTCCGTAGACTTCAGGCCAGAGGTCTGGATGGAGGTTGCTGTTGAAGTCATCCTTTAGCACAGTTGGGAGAGGAACAGTAGGCACACAATAAGGCCCTCCAAAACCTCTGTCACACCTGAAGGAACATGGGTGGGAGAGCATTATTGGTTGTGTAAGGAGCATGGATAGATTTGGAGGATGTGCTAAGCTTGAATTGCCTCTTGTGCAGTGGTGGGATTCAACCAGTGCAACAACCGGTTCGGTGAGTGGGGGCTTTGCACACACATGCAGCATTTTAAAAATGCCCATTTTCAGCTCTAATACTTACCTTTTACTCAGGGGTGGGATACGACAGGGTTAACTAGTGGTTCGGGATTTACGAGGTTCGGTGATTTATGATGTGCTTCCCTGCATGCTGCGAGTGCGTGCCTGTAAATCATCATCAGCACGCTGCGTGCAGAGAAGCAGCCTTTGAAACAGCCCTCTTTTCCTGCTTTTTAAACTGCAGCTGTGCCTCGTTCGGCAGCTGAAGTTGAAAAATCAGGAAATAAAGATCAGGCAAGAGCCCGGGTGGGCAGGTGGGCAAAAACATCAGCAGACATAGAACCGGTTGCTGCTCTTCAGAGCTACTGGTTCTACAGAGATGGACGGAACCGGTAGAAACCCACCCCTGCTTTTACTGCAGCCCCGGTGAGCAAAACATCTGAGGCGCAGCAATCCACTCTGCCGTGTGAATCAGCTGAGCTGAGCTGAGCTCAAAAACAAGGAAATAAAGCACAGGGAAGGGCAAGGGTGGATGGGTGGGGCCAAATGATCACTGGAATAACTGGGTCGCCCAAACCAGTCTGAACTGGTAGAATCCCACCCCTGCTTTTGTGCCCAAACTCATATTCCTCCAAGCCTTTCATAGTACATAAAACATAGAATGGTGAGGTTGGAAGGGACCTTTGAGCAATGGTGGTATTCTACTGGTTCAGACTGGTTCTGCTGAGCCGGGAGCACCGATGAACAGCGGAGACCGAATCAGTTCTCTCTGTTGGGCCCACTTGCCTGCCCGGGGGTCCAGTATTCACCTTCATTCCCTGCTTTTCAAGCAGAGCTGCTTTGCACGGCACAGAAGAGCGCTGCGTGGCAGCTGCTGAAGTGACAGGGAGAGTGCAGGCTTGCAGGAGGTGAGTAGGAAAGCCTCTGCGCATGCACAAAGTGTGTATTTGGTGTGCGCGTGTGCACAAAGCGTGTGTATGCACGTAAAGTGTGGCCATCAAGCCGCGCCCGCCAAACAGGTGGTAAAAGTCTTTGAATCCCACCACAGCCTTGGAGGTCTTCTAGTCCAACTCCCTGCCTACAGCAGGAGATCCTATACTATTCCAGACAAATGGATGCCCAGTTTCTTCTTGAAAACCTCCAGTGATGGAGCACTCATAACTTCCAGAGGCAAGTCGTTCCACTAGTTAATTGTTCTCACTAACAGGAAATTCCTCCTTAGTTCTAGGCTGGATCAATCTTTAATTATCTTCCACCTGTTACTTCTTGTCTTGCCCTCAAGTGCTTTGGAGAATTAGTCAATCCTTTCCTCTCCATGACAAACCTTCAAGTACTGGATGATTGCTATTACGTCACCCCCGGTCCTTCTCTTCATTAGACTGGACATAGTTAGTTTCCCCAATCATTCATCATATAAGGTAAAGGTTCCCCTCACACGTACATGCTAGTCATTTCCGGCTCTAGGGGGTGGTGCTCATATCTGTTGCAAAGCTGAAGAGCCAGCGCTGTCCAAAGACGTCTCTGTGGTCATGTGGCCAGCAGAAGTAAACGCCAAAGAAGGCGCATGGAACACTGTGACCTTCCCACCAAAGGGATCCCTATTTTTCTACTTGCATTTTTACATCCTTTAGAACTGCTAGGTTGGCAGAAGCTGGGACAAGTAATGGGAGCTCACTCCATTACACGGGGCTAGGGATTCAAACCACCAAACTGCCAACCTTTCTGATCAACAAGCTCAGCGTCTTAAACCACTGACCCACTGCATTCCTTTCCATTCCTCATATGCTTTAGCCTAAATCCCCTTAATCAATCTTGAGTTGAAGCCATGGCTTCAATAAACAAGCCAGGGTTTCATCTGGGATGTAACTGGGGACTGCTGTTTCTTCAGTAATTTCTGCTTAGTTTAGGGGATGCATTGGGGTCCTTAACCTATAAACTCATAATTAAAACCAAACCCAAATTCTCAGCAGCTGTATCTTAACACTAGCCCTAAATACATTCCCTCCTCCTCTTCAAAACGTTAATAATGTATGTTTTCTTACACACAATGCCCAGAATCACAGATTCCATGACCGGAACACATCCAGGGACATCCAGTGGCCAGGATGACATTATCAATAGTCCAGGTGTCCCCACCAGGGGTATAATCATGTTGGATCCATCGGAAGCGTGTTCTGGAGGACCTGAAACGAAAAGATAGTAGGAATAAAAAAATCAGATTGTGAGGTTATATAGAAGATAAAGAAGAAGAGACTTTGGGTATGTGGCTGTACAACACAACAGCTTACACTTCAGCAGGAATACTTAAAGATATATTATCTGGTCTTCTTTGCCATTAATGGTTCTTCTAACTATACAGCAGTGGTGGGATTCAACATTTTTTACTATCGGTTTTGTGGGCATGGCTTGGTGGGCGTGGCAGGGGAAGGATACTGCAAAATCTCCATTCCCTCTCCACCCCACTAACCTGCTTTCCAGCTCTGTTCTCCTTTGCAGGGCAACCAAAGAAGAGCCAGCCGATTAGCTGGGACTCAATGGGAGGCAGAGAAGAGATGGGGTTGGCGGGGCCAGTCAGAGATGGGATTTGCTGGTTCTCCCAACTACTCACAATTTCCGCTACTGGTTCTCCAGAACTGGTCAGAACCTGCTGAAGACCACCTCTGCTATACAGATAATCCTCAAATTGCAACAGTGACCATTCAACAACAACACTGAAAATAAGTGACATGACTGTTTTTCACATCTCCAACCATTGTGGCAACCCCATGATTACTTAATCAAAATTCAGACGCTTGGCAACTGATTCACATTTACACTAGTTGCAGTGTCCCAAAGGTTAAATGATTCCCTTTTGTGACCTTCTGGCAAGCAAAGTCAATGAGGGAAAACCAGATTCACTTAACAACCAGGTTACTAACTTATCAACTGGTTTTTCTGCGGATCAGAAGGGGCCTGGTTGGTTTCGTATGCTGCCTACATCCCGCGGATCGGGTTTTGCTTTTTTGTGTGGCCTGGTTGCTGGCAGGCCACAGCCTGGTGCCGGTCCATGGTCTGTGGGTTGGAGACCCCTTGGGCTAGAATATAAATTGAAGGCAAACCCCACTCCTTACTAGCACTGATGATGTTACCTAGTATGGTAACGAAACGTCTGCAAGAAAAACAACCAAGCTCAGAAAGCGCCAAGGACCCCTCGTGTCAACCCTGAGCTACAGATATTCTCGTCTATCAGTAGTACATCAGAGGATATTTCTTACATGGCTGCAGGAGGAAGAGACAGCGTGACCCGTTTCCAATTCTGAAATCTTTCTGAACTGTAAACCGAACTCTCCGTGTAATGTTGGCAGCCGATTCTGGGCGGCACACACTCTTCGGTCACCAAGTGCCAATCTTTTCCGTTGTTCAGGGAGTACTGGAAATGAATGCCGTGGGCATCGCTGAAGGGTTTGCTGCAGCCCATGTTCAGCTCAAACTGCATGAAGGTGGAATCAGCCACGTGGAAATCCCAGGTCTCCGCGTAACGAGGCTTTCCTTAAAAAAAAGAAGAAAAAGAAGAAGAAAAGAAGAGCAGATAAGATTATTAAAGGCCTGGAGATTAAAACATATGAAAAACAGTTGCAGGAACTGGGTATGTCTAGTCTAATGAAAAGAAGAACCAGGGGTGACATGATAGCAGTGTTCCAATATCTCAGGGGCTGCCACAAAAAAGAGGCAGTCAAGCTATTTTCCAAAGCACCTGAGGGTAGGACAAGAAGGGATAGTCTTGGATAAATGGCAGAAACTATGGGATAGAAATTATAAAATTAACTATGTCAACAACTTATAAAGAAAATTTGTATAAGATGTTTTACAGGTGGCATTTCCACACACACACCCCCGGCAAGACTGCCAAAGATGTTTAAAGACAAATCAGTGAAATGTTGGAAATGTCATCAAATACCGGGAACATACTACCATATGTGATAGACATGCACAGAAGCTAAAAGATATTGGACTAAAATACACATGATTGGAAAAGATGATAAAACAATATATAGACTTAAAGTCTGAGATATTTTTATGGGGGATCCTACCTGAGAATTATAGTAAAGAAAAAATATTTTTAATTATACATATATTAACAGCAGCTAGAATTGTATTTGCTCAGAATTGGAAAAATTGAAAAGATTCCGGTGGAGGAGGAAGTGATTAAGAAAATATTGCAATGTGCAGAAATGAGTAGATTAACATTGGCAATTAGAGAACAAGAAGAAATGGAGTGCTATATGATTTGGGATTTATTTTATAAATGGTTTGGAAAATAAAGTAAGAAATTAAATGATATTATTATAATAATATATAATGATATATAATGCTGAATAGCAATAGCAATAGCACTTAGACTTATATACCATTTTATAGTGCTATAAGCCTTCTCTATGTGATTTACAGAGTCAGCCTCTTGCTTCCAACAAACTTGGTCTTCGTTTTACCCACCGTGGAAGGCTGAGTCAATCTTGAGCCTGGTGGGATTTGAACTGCCAAATTGTAGGCAGCTGGCTGCAGCAGATGTAGTTTGCAGTACTACACTCTAACCACTGCGTCACAAAGGCTCATAATATGAATGTAAATGTAGTAAGAAATGTATACAAATATTAATATGTGCACAAGATATATGTAGCCAATTGATACACTGTATAACTGAAAGATGGTTTTATTTTTTGTTCTTGTTATAAAAATAAAAAAACTTTTTATAAAAAAAAAGAGAGAGGATGTCTGTCTTGGAGTTATTGGTTGGAATTGAGGTTTTCTGGAACACTGACATTATCCCGATGACAACATGGTAGTGGGCCACGGACCACAGGTTGGGGACCCCTGGTTTGCAGCGAAGGGATTAGCATAATCAACATGAATAGATGAATATATCCAATGCTTCAAAACTTGAAAACGCTGGTATTCTAACTAAACAAAAAAAGGATGAAAAGTGTATTCTTTGCACGATTTGAGCCTTACCTATATTTTCACTGAAGATGAGAGAGGTATCCATAGATAGACAATCGACGTTGACCTGCCCCCCTTGAACCCGGTACCAATTTGCCTGCAAATCTACAGAGCCATCAAATTTATCTTGAAAACCCATTGGAGAGCTGTCGTTCATTCCTACAAGGACGTCATCCAAAGCCCACTGGGCTGAATGCTTTCCTAGAAAAAAACAGGAAAGAACATGAAGGTTATTCTTTATTTAAGTTTATGGTACGGAACCAGCTGGGTGCAGAGGTTAAAGACACCCAACAGCGCACTGTGAGTTCTAATCCCATCTAGAGTACAGAGCCGGGTGTGAGTGACCTTGGGCCAGTCACTTTCTCTCTTCGTTTCTCTCAAACGAAGGCAATGGCAATTCACTTCCAAAAATCTAGCCAAGAAAACCATAGGGATTTTGTCTAGAGTCAATACTAACTTGAAGGCACCCAAAACAACAGCAACAATACAGTGGTTGGATTCAATTTTTTAAACTACTGGTTCTGTGGGAGTGGCGTGGCTTGGTGGGTGTGACTTGGTGGGCGTGGCAGGGGAAGGATACTGCAAAATCCTCATTCTCTCCCCACCCCACTAACCCGCTTTCCAGCTCTATTCTCCTGTGCAGGGCAACCAAAGAAGACCCAGCCAATCAGCTGGGACTTGGGAGACAGAGAAGAGATGAGGGTGGAGCCAGTCAGAGGTGGCATTTGCCGATTCTCCAAACGACTCAAAATTTCTGCTACCAATTCTCCAGAACTGGCCAGAACCGGCTGAATACCACCTCTGAAGCAATACAATTGTGATATTACATTGACCTCAAGTGTTTTCCTCAAGCAGTTAATCTTTGAAAAGGGGCCATCTTTTGCAATTTATTTATAATACGGTAAAGAAAACAAATGAGCTTTTAAATAGCTCAGGATGAAAAATGAAAGCATATTGTGCCAGCGTAGGAAAAAAACAACCTAGTGACAAATGTATATTTTCTGAAAAACAGTACCATTTAATTATTCCCATCTGCCATAGCTCACTTTTATTATACCAACAGCGTGTATTTTCTAACTATGATCTAACTAAGGAAATTTGGCCAGTGTCTTCGAGATAACACTTTTCATATATATTTAATAGAAGATTGCTCTGGAATTTCCTAATAGCAGCAAAATAAGAGGAAGGCTTTTAAATCTATTACTCATCCCATAACAGCAAATAATAGGAACTCAGTGAAGTTGTAAAGTAATGCTCTAATCTTACAGTCCACAGATGAAAGATAACCACATAAAATCAATGAGGAATCAATTCAGTGGTGCTTAGAACAGCTAACTAATTGCACGGTATCCTGAACAATTCACAGAATAACAGTATGTCTTGTTTATGAGAATAAGCACATTTTGTTGCACATTTACCCAAATAATAAAAATAAATGTTTCCTTTGTCAAGTTATATCTGACTCTGAGGAGGGTGCTCATCTCCACTCCTTAGTCAAGGGATCTAGCTATGTCTGAAGACATTTCTGTGGTCAAATGGCCAGCACATATACATCAAAGTGCAGGAAGGCCATCACCTTCCCACTAAAGTGGTATCTATTTATCTGCTCAAATTTGCATGCTTTCAAACTGCTAGGTTGGGTAGGAGCTGCAGCAAGGGATGGGAGCTCACCCCATCATGTGGGACTTGGGTCTCGAACCCCAGGCTGTCAGCTTTCCAGATGAGAAGCTCAACGTCTTCATGAAGGGGTCACACCAGAAATGCATTTATGCAAGTCAAAAGGATCCTTTATTGCTCCTAGGGGCATCATTAAAAACAAGCAAGGGAAAAGACTTGTCTGACCAACAAGGTGTCAAGAACAGATGGCAAGAAAAGAGAAGGAGAAATAGAAATAGAGGAAGAGATTATATGGATGATGAACCAACTGCCAAAGAACAAGACTTTTTGTCATGTTTATGTAGTGTAAATTGGAGGTGGTGACCCTTTGAGAGCTGTATATAATGAAATTTTATTTTAACGTATGCAGATTAGTGTACATTCAAAGTGACAAGGAAATTCTATCTATCTATCCATCCATCCATCCGCCCAAAATAAAACACGCTTTGCTTCTGGCAACACTGTGTTTTAACTGTCTCTCTTATATACTAGTCTCCCCAGCTGCAACCAGTGAGGGGTTCATGGCCACTTCCTCTCTCGTAAGCCAAGTTGTTGCCTTCTCCGTTCCACCCTGCATGTCCTAGGATGCAGAGGGGATGGGCCTGGTTCTTCCTCTGACTGCCCAGCTGACCTCTGCCCTTCCCCAGCCTTGTCCACAACCTCTGGAGCCACAGCTCCACTCCCTGTCGACTGTTCCTCCTCTCCCTCAGAGTCTGACTCTACCAAGGGCATGACACTGTCTATCCAGCCATCTATCTAAATCTATCTACACATCTGTCTGTCTGTCTATCTATCTATCTATCTATCTATCTATCTATCTATCTATCTATCTATCTATCTATCTATCCATCCATCCATCCATCCATCCATCTATCTATCGATTGATCCATCCATCCATCCATCCATCCATCCATCCATCCATCCATCCATCCATCCATCCACCCACCCACCCACCCACCCACCTACCTGTTCCAAGCATTGACACTATCCCTGCAGAATTACTAAGACCTGAATGATACCCTCTTTGTTAATTAATCAAATGGAAAAGTTATATATGCATGATATGTCGCTCTATGCACCTACCATGCTGAGGTTGCCACCACCGAAAGGCAGTGGCTGATGTTTTGGCCTCCCAGGGCAATTCAATAGACACAATCTGTGGCTCCAAGAACGACAAGAAGTCCAGTTCTCGTAGCAAAGTCCAGCTGATTCCATTGTCATTTGAATACTGGACCACAAGCCCTATGAATCAAAATGAAATAAAGCATCATTTTAAAGGCTCGGTAGCCAATGGGGGATCTAATGCCAATCTTAGGCCTTCCGATGATGTGACTTCTCCATGTCATAAACACAGAATCCATTACAGGTAGTCCTTGACTTACATCCATTCATTTAGTGACCATTCAAAGTTACAAAAGCCCAGGGAAAAAAAAAGCAATTTGCTTTTGATAAGGTCCTCGTACTTATGACGATTGCAGCATCCCCAAGATCTCTTGATCAAAATTCAGATGCTTGGTAGTTGGGGTGTATTGATGATGGTTGCAGCACCCCAGCCAGATTCTGATGTACACAGATAATGGGAGAAACCAGATTCACGTACGATCGTGGGATTAACTTAACAATGATAGATTCACTTAACGATCATGGCAAAAAAAAAGAGAAAGGTTGCAAAATCAGCCCTGACTCAGTTGGCCATGCTTACAAATGGAAATTCTACTCCCAGTAGTGCAGGGGGTGTGAAACTCAATTTCATAGAGGGCCACATCAGGGTTGTGTTTGACCTCAGGGGTCCAGGGTGGGCATGGCCAGCTGTCAACTTATAAAATAATTCTATGGTCTTTTTGGAGTGGCCAACAGAAAGGGAGGAGGGAAGCAGTGCAGCAGCTTGCAAAACCGAAACTGCATTCCATAAATGTTTTCAGAGATAGTAACTAGGTGACCGAAATTTCTTCCCGCAAAATTCTAATTGGAGGGCATGATTGATGACACTTGGCTATGGATGCGATCATAGGAACAGCTGATCGTCGGGAGGGGAAATACTTTAAGGAGTGACTGGGCGGGAAAGAATGCAGTCAGTGATGTCGGGCACACGCACGACGTTGTGCAGGCGTGAAAAGGACTGACTGGGTAGGGAGGGGAGGGGTGGGCGGAGAGGGGCAGGTCCAGTCGGGGCACGATTTGCCAGTTCTCTGAACTGTGCAAAATCATAACAACCGGTTCTATAGAACCGGTCTGAACCAGTAGAATCCCGCCCCTGGTTATATAGCTAACAAAATTAAAATGAATTTACCTTCATTCCTGGCTCGGGGTCTGTTGCAGTCTGTACCAGCTGTTTTGCTTCCAATTTGTACATAGAACTGAACTAGTCTGTTTTTTTAAAAAAAATAAAGTTTAAAAAGTTAGTTTGGAATAGAAAAAAAATATCTTTAACGCTTGGGAATTGTTCCATCACATATAATTTCCCATATACAAGTGCTATTTAGCATTTAATTTTATATACTGTGGACCCTTGTTCAGTTATTCCAAGGGTCTTCAAACTTGGCAAGTTTAAGTCTTGTGGACTTCAACTCCCAGAATTCCTCAGCTAACAGGACTGGAGGAGATTTCTGGGAGTTGAAGTCCACAAGTCTTCAAGCTGTCAAATTTGAAGACCCCTGAGTTATTACTCTTATAATGAACAACTGACTGAAAACGTGAATATTTCTGATGGTTGAATGAAGTCTGCACTATGATATTTCCAATTTCATGTAAACATATTTGGCAATGAGTATAACATATAATCAGAGTTGGAAGGAACCTTGTAGGTCATCTAGTCCAATCCCCTTCCCAAGCAGGAGACCCTACAACATTTCTGACAAATGGCAGTCCAATCTCTTCTTGAAAGTCTCAAGTGATGGCGCTCCCACAACTTCCGAGGGCAACTCCTGTTCCATTGGTTGATTGTTCTCACTGTCAGAAAGTTTCTCCTTATTTCCAGGTTGAATCTTTCCTTGTTCAGTTTCCATCCTTTATTCCTTGTCTGGCCTTTGGATGCTTTGGAGAATAGCTTGACCCCTTCCTCCTCTCTGTGGCAGCCCCTCAAATATTGGAAGACTGCTATCCTGTCTCCCCTGGTCCTTCTCTTCACTAGACTAGCCAGGCCCAGTTCCTGCAACCGTTCATCGTATGTTTAAGCCTCTAGTCCCCTGGTTGCTCTTCTCTGCATTTTTTTTCTAGAGTCTCAACATCTTTTTTATAATATGGTGACCAAAACTGGATGCAGTACTCTAGGTGTGGTCTTGCTTAGGCTTTATAGATTGATATTACTACCTCACTTGATCTCGATTGTACCCTCTGTTAATACAATTTAGGATGGCATTGACTTTTTTGTACTTTTGTATAAAGTACTACTAATCAGGCATATGTAGCACTGTATTGTAATTCTGAAGTAAGTTCACTCTGTAGAACCAGAAATTTAATACAGGTAGTCCTTGAATTACAACAGTTCATTTAGTGACCATTCAAAGTTACAACGGCAGTGAAAAAAGTGACTTACGACCATTTTTCACACTTAAGACCATTGCAACATTCCCATGGGCAGGCAATCAAAATTCGGATTCTTGGCAACTGACTCATATTTATGACTGTTGCTGTGTCCTAAGGTCATGTGATCACCTTTTGTGACCTTTTAACAAGCAAAGTCAATGGGGAAGCCAGATTCACTTAACAACCAGATTACTAACTTAACAACTGCAATGATTCACTTAACAATTGGGGCAAAACTCATTTAACAAATGTCTCACTTAACAGCAGAAATCATAACACAGGACAAAACCCACTTAGCAACTGTCTCGCTTAACAATTTAACAGAAATTTTGGGCTCAATTGTCATTGTAAGTCAAGGATGACCTGTATCATGCTAACCTCTTATAACAGCTATGTTATCTGTATGTAGATGATACACATGAATCTTCAAAATCATTGAAAACAAGAAATTATTTCATCTAAAACAGGGGTCTCCAACCTCGGCCCCTTTAAGACACACGGACTTCAACTCCCAGAATTCCTCTGCCAGTGTTGCCCATCATTCTGCGTCGCTGGCTGAGGAATTCTGGAAGTTGAAGTCCACAAGTTTTAAAATGCCTGAGGTTGGAGTGCTGTGATTTAAAACATTGTCCGTTCTGAGGAAAAAAAAATCTGAATTTTTCATGGTCTCGTAAAATCTATGGCAAAATGAAATTTTTAGAAACAAAATATAAAATTGACCTGATGCCTGTGGTATCCAGAGGGACGGTTCGTGCTTCCCTCTTGCCCGAACCACCAAAGTAAAGAGATTTGCCATCGCTTAATATTCCGCAACCATTTCCAACTTGGGCTCCAGTTATCTTGTACCAAAGGGGGCTCAGCTTCCTCTCAAATCTGTCAAACATCTCGCTGGGATTAGGGACATTAGACACACAGGTCCCATGTGAAGCTTCAGAAAAGGAAATGAAAAAAATATATATGGGGATACATTTTGGAAAAAGTCTTCAGTGCAAAGGCCAAGAACTGGCAAACAAATATATACACAGTGTTTTATATTAGTGATATACTATATCTTATCTTTTTATAAATATATATATATAAAATTGAAAGACCACTCATGAATCATCACAAAATCTCCAGAACCGTAAAGCCTACAAACTTGAAATTTGGCACGTATGTTCCTCTTGGCTTCTAGGTGCTCACTAGGAAAGGATTTTTCCAAATGACCGTCAGAGCATTAGTTTTTCCTATATTATTATTAACACACTCTGATGCTAAAGAGTTCTACTCCCCTACCCTACCTGAAAAGAAATCTGATCCAAATGCAAAACACAAGCAGAGGAGAGGAGTTTCAGTCTCACAGCAGCAACCAGCTTTATTACAGAATAGTTGAGCTAAGCCACGCCCAGGCTCCTTGCTGTCTCCTTCTTGCTCACACAGGAAATACTGTTTCAGTTTCCAAACAGTCCTTAACTCTCACACACTGACAGGACACTAGCCAGATGAATACCGATGGATGCCAGTAGGCAGAGGCACAATTTCCCCCCCTTTATTTTCCTCCCACAAAACTAAGCCCGAACCACATAGTTTCATAACGAAGCACAGGTATCGAGCTCATATTATATATGCAGTATTTTATATCAGTGATATACTATATTAATATATATTAGTATTTCTTGGGAAGGCCAAAGATCATCACATTCCGTTATTCCCATTTAATATCCTTTCGTCTGTAAATCTCTCAATTCTCCAATCACGTGTATTTTTTTACTCCAATTCCAACTTTCCTTTGTAAGAGAAGGTGTCGCAAAGAGCATTCACTGGCGATGATACGGTTCTCAGAGAAAATATTTATAAGGCCCTTTAAAGCTGGTTTTTAGTTATGTTGAAGTTTAGGGTCTGGAGGCTGGCCTCTTAGGGTCTTCAAACTTGGCAATTTTAAGACCTATGGACTTCAAGCCCCAGAATTCCCCAGCCAGGATGGAATTGAAGTCTACAAGTTGAAGTCCACAAGTGTTGAATATTGTCAAGTCTGGGGAATTCCTGAATGAAAGCAAAGAAAACATGGCAACTTATATGAACAGAAATGTTCCCAGAAGCTTATATAAACAAACACATCACAAGCCTAGCAAGTGTTTGTGTTTACAAAACCCTAACTACAGAAACAAGTAGAAATAGTGATTTTAGGCATGGCTTTCTGAATTGATTTATCTTTGGATACTTTATGAGTTAAAAATACTGTGGGTAGAGTGCTGATTAATTGATAGATGAGATAGATAGCACTGATTAATTGATAGATAGATAGATACAGGCTTTGAATGTAATTTCTTTTGTGATAATCTTGTGTTTGTGTCTTGTGTGTGTATGTGTGTGTGTATCTACATCTATCATCATCTTCTTTTAACGACCCCATAATAACCTCTTGCGGGGTGGATTCTGGGCAACTGAATGGAGCTAGCATAGTGTTTTCTGGCCAGATGCCCTTCCTGTCTCCAGTTTTGTTTTGCAGATATATTGTTTTGTTCAGCAGATATATTCCCACTGTGAAATATTTGCCTCTACCTAAGATCGAACTCACAGTCTCCTGATTGTGAGGTGAGAGATTCACCTCTAGGCCACCGCACCACTCTGTATGTATTTATATCTATATATTTGTCTCTATCTATCTATTAATCTATCTATCCATCCATCCACCCATCCAATGTTTTATCAACAAGAATAAAATGCAGAACAAAGGAAACAGGAAAACATATATTCAACAGTAAAAAAAAAAAAAATTTAAGTATAAAAATAAGTAACCCAAACATCAAACAAATCTAACAGCGTACCAATGACTCATTTCTTTTGCATAGTCTATAGATATTGTTCATGTCTGTGTGTCTACTGATGGTTAATTTGTCAGAGTGCCAGGCTTCTAGAAATTCCTGGTGGTTTCTGACTTGAACGAGCCGTTTCATGCTGAAATTCACGGTGACTCTACCTGTTAAAGCTTACCTGTATAGGCCATGTCACAAAAACAGACGCCGGAAATGCAGTCTCCCTGGCCGTTGCAGTAGTTGGGACACGGCTCTGAAATATACACCCCGTCCAAGCCAAAGGGAGGAAGGCTCTTTTGCGAGCGGCTCTCTTGTATCCAGCGGAACCTGGTCTTTCTACATTGAGGGACAGAAATACCAAAGCTGTTGCTGCTTTCTTTGAAAACGTGTGCTAGTTTGCAAATGTTTATTCTCCAAAGACATAACCAAGTTGTTTTGTGGGCTTGAGTATCTCTGTATAACATGTTCCATGGGACAATGGGATACACATAATTTTAATTATGTATTATCTATATGACACCCATCTGATTACTAGAGTGATTGTGGGTGGCTGATCATCTACATATTTCATTCTTTCTTTCCTTCCTTCTTTCTTTCTTTCTTTCCTTCCATCCGTCCTTCCTTCCTCTTTCTTTCCTTCCTCTTTTTTTCTTTCCTTTCTTCTTTCTTTCTCTTTCTTTCCTTCCATCCATCCATCCGTCCTTCCTTCCTCTTTTCTTCCTACCTTCCCCTCTCTCTTTCCTTCCTTATTTCTTTCTTTCCTTCCTTCTTTCTTTTTCTTTCTTTCTTCCATCCATCCATCCTTACTTACTTACTTCTTTCTTTCTTTCTTTCCTTCCTTCCTTCTTTCTTTCCTCCTCCCTCCCTCCCTTCCATTTATATGGCCACCCACTCACTCTCAGTGACTCTGGGCAGCACACCAACAATTAAAAAACCCCAATATAAACCAATAGTATTTAATGATTACTGGCCCAAAATAAGACAGTACAACTACAAAACCACGAAAACCTTACTATTTTTAAACTACTGTGTTTGAATGACTGAATCAACACGATTATGTTGAAATAACACGATGAGCTGTAGTGGCACAGTGGTTAGAATCCAACATTGCAGGCTATTTCTGCTGATTGACAGGAGTTAGATCCCTACCAGGCTCAAAGTCGACTCCCCCCTCCATCCTTCCGAGGTTGGTAAAATGAGGAGTCAGATTGTTGGAGGCTGACTCTATAAATCGCTTAGAGAGGGTTGTGAAGCACTGTGAAGCGGTATATAAGTCTAAGTGCTATTGCTATTGTGTCAAGCACAGAATAAGATACAGTACAGTACAGATCAGTTTCAGGATTTCAGCCGCAACCCGATTTGGTCGTGACTGAATTGTCTGCGCATGCATGGACAAACACCCCTCCCCCCAAATGGTGGCAAAGGGGAAATTGGTGCAGAAAGGGAATATTTCCATGCCAATTTTGTTCGCCATCCGATTTTTGAAGCATGACCCGATTCAAAAATCGGTGGATTTTTTGTTCACCACCCGATTTGGTCACGAACAGGAGTGTTCGCAACCTGAGGTTCCACTGTAGGTGGTATCCATGGACACCAATGTGCCATAAACTCATGGAACCCACTAGTACAGTGATGGCTAACCTTTTCCATGTTGAATGCCCAAAGTGCTTGCGCTCGCGTGCCTGCACCCATTAGGTAATGCACGTGCGACTCCTCCCATCTCCCTGCACCATATGCCTCTGTGCATGCGCACACACCCCACCAGCCAGCTGATTGTTGGGTATCTATGCGCACATGCTCAGTGGGGCTCTTCTGGGAGACCTCTCACGTGCTGGCAGAAATGGCTCTGTGTGTTACTACTTGCATGTGTGCCATAGGTTCACCATCATGGCACTAGTCTCTCTCCTCTCTGACATTCAGAATAAATATCATGTCATTCATGCCACGCCATGCCATGCCATGCCATCTCTCACCTCATCCTATCCCATCCCATCCCATGCCTCCTCCTCTCCTCTCCTGCCCTCCTCTCCTCCCATCCCATCCAGGGGTGGGATTCAATTTTTTTAACAACCGGTTCTGTGGGTGTGGCTTATTTGGTAGGTGTGGCTGGCTAGATGTGGCCAACTCAACATCACTCACATCGAGGCACGCATCTCTTCACCAGGTCTCTCATGACCGTGGAGATGCTGCAACAGTCATAAGTGTGAAAAACTGTCATAAGTCACTTTTTTCAGTGCCATTGTAACTTTGAATGGTCACTCCACACAAGTACCAGCAAAGGAGGGGGAAAAAAACTCCAGAGACGTTCCTGAGACAGGAAGCCTAGTCCTGCCAAGAATGTAATAAGGGTTAACAGAGAGGCAGTTTCTGTAAGCAACACCAGAATGTTTCCTTCCTGCCTTCCTTACAGGATTAGGCCAGTAATTTCTCCTAACAACCGGTTCTCCAAACTGCTTAGAATGGTAACATCTGGTTCTAGCGAATAGGTGCGAACTGGTAGAATCCCACCCCTGATCCCATTTCATTCCCTGCCCTTTCTTACCCAACCCTACCATGTTCAACACACTTACAAGCAACAGCCTCAATGGTAGGGAAGCAATCCCATCTCCTTGTCTACTGTTTAAAAAAAAACCCTAATTCCCAAATTGGATAATCTGAATTTATACATCGGCAGCCTACAATGGAAGGAGTCAAACAAAACTTTGTATAATTGAGCTCACAATAATACACACAAATTCGACAGATGGGTTTCACTAGTATATCGACAGCAAATACCACGTGAAAAATCTATATATTCCTCTGAACAGGTTGGTTGGAGGCAGAATTTATACACAACAAAGAAACGTTCCCTTAACACACTGCAACTTCGAATAGACTCCATTACCATTAATGGAATTGGTTCCAAAGGGAATATTTTTAGATCCGGGTGCAAATCTGTCACAACTGTTATAGCATGGATACAGAGAAGGCGGGGAATAACAGCCCATCTGTAATTGCAATCGATAAATGCAATTATGCTGATTAGCTTGATTAGCATTCTTGAGGAGCTGAAAAATGTTATGTCGAGTCTGGTGCCTCGTCCCAGTTATATGACAGACATAATGTGAAACAGGCTGCCTCTTATCGATTGGGTACTGTTTCCGTTGGGCAAAGCAATCTCATCTGTGTCTGTGTGACTTGGCAATTGTGCTTGTTGGTTAATTAAAGGAAAATACTTTTGAGTAGAATGCTCACTGTTTATGTGTTTTCATCCTACCAAGAAGGCTCTTCGTTCTCTAAACTATTACAGCATGCCTTGTGCTGTAATTATTTGTTAATGGAGTAACAGAAGGAGATTGTCTAAAAACACTTAGACAGGAAGATAAAATACATTTGGTCAGGCTGTTAAAAAAAAAGAGAAGAGATGCAATTTAAAAAAAAAAACACATTGCAAGTAGAGCTGTTGGTTAAATTTTTAGCTATTGTACTAATATCTTGGAAGAAGAGGAGACTTGGTTACGATTCTGAGCAAAACAGAAGAACAGAGCAGAATAATGGAGCTGGAAGGGACCTTGGAGGTCTTCTAGTCCAACCCCTTGGTCAAGCAGAAGACCCTATACCCATGATGGTGAACCTACAGCACGCATGATGGAAGTGGCCCATAGAGCCACTTCTGTCGGCACGCTAGAAGTCACACAGAAGAGCCCCACTGAGCATGCACATGCACCGCACAGTGAACAGCTGATTGTCGGGTATCTGGCATGCATGCAAAGAGGGAGGGCGTGTGCAGGAGACGTATGTGCATGCACAGAGACAGGTGGCGTGGGCATGCGGGGTCTTGCGTGCATGCGCAGGGGTGTGCCCAACCCACTTGTATTGCCTTCTGGGTGCTGGCACACAAGCACGCGCGCGTGGGAGTGAGCACGCAATTTTTGGCACAGGAGTCCAAAAAGGTTAGCCACCACTGCCCTATACCATTTCAGACAAGTGGCTGTCCAGTCTCCTCTTAAAAACCTCCAGGGATGGAGCACCAGTGGTAAAATGCTACCGGATGAGCTGAACCGGTAGCAAAAATTGCTACTGGTTCGGCCGTAGAGGTAATTAAAAAAAAGCTCTGACGATCAGCTGAGAGGAGAAAGACGAGAAAAGCGCAGGATCAGCCCTCCCACCTGCCTCTGAGCTTTCCTGTTCTTTATACTCTCAGCTGATTGGCGCTGCAGGTCTCAGATGGTGTTTGGAAAGCGGCTCACGCGCATTAGATATACGTCTGCACACGCGCGAAGAGTGTGATCACCAAACCAGTAGGGAAACTGGTAGAATCCCACCACTGTGGAGCATCCGCAACTTCTGGAGGCAAATTGTTCTACTGGTTAATTGTCCTCACTATTAGGAATTTTCTCCTTAATTCCGGGTTGTTTCTCTCCTTGATTAGTTTCCACCCACTGCTTCTTGTCCTGCCTTCAGGTGCTTTGGAGAATAGCTTGACTCCCTCTTCTTTGGGGCAGCCCCTCATATTGGAATGTCACTATCATGTCACCCCTAGTCCTTCTTTTCAAGGTGTTATACTTCGTTGAATTCTCCCACCTTACGTTCAGAAATAATAACTGAAAATAATCGTAAAGGGTTTTAGTCTCCAAGAAAGACTTACCTGTTAGAAGTTAGAGAAAAGGAAATTCTAATGTTGTCTGGGCATTTCAAAGAACATGGTGTGACCTTGGGGATACAGCTATTATGGCTTCCAATTTAGTTTCTGGGTTCTTGTAAAATACAGGTAGTCCTCGACTTATAACTTTTCACTTAGTGACCATTCAAAGTTACAACGGCACTGAAAAAAGCGACCAATTTTTCCACACTTATGACAGTTGCAGCATTCCCATGGTCAGCTGGTCAAAATTCAGATGCTGACTCATATTTATGACGGCTGCAGTGTCCTGGGGTCACGTGATCTGCTTTTGCGAACTTTCGACCAGTGAAATCAATGGGGAAGCCCGATTCGCTTAACAACCATGTTACTCACTTTTTTTAAAAAAAATGCCACGATTTGCTTAACCACTGTGGCAAGAAGAGTTGTACAATGGGACAAACTCACTGAACCGAGATTTCACTTTGGGATCAGTTGGGGTTGCGACTCCCTGAAGTCGATAAAAGTTAGTAACCCGGTTGTTAAGTGAATCCGGCTCCCCGTTTTGACTTTGCTTGTCAGAAGGTCACAAAAGGGGAAACACGTGAGCCCCCTCCCGGGACACTGCAACCATCATCAATAGGAACCAGTTGCCAAGCAGCTGAGTTTTGATCGTGGAGATGTTGCAAAAATCGTAACTTTGAAACACAGTCGTAAGCAGCGGTGGGATTCGGACTGGGTTCGGACCGGTTTGGGCGAACCAGGTGTTCAAGTTACAGCTGGTTCACTGAACCAGTATTTCACCTGACCGGCTGGCCCCTCCCCTCCTGCCCCGCCCCTTCCAGGAGTCTCCACGTGGCCCATTTTTGATGGAGGTAAGCGCTTCAGGGTCTGTGCGGAGGTTCTGGGAGGAGAAAAAAAATGGGCCTTCTGGAAGTCCAGAAACGGGCCTGGTTCCGGCTTCTGGAGGGTTTCCAGAGGAAGGGGAGGCTGTCTTTGCCCTTCCAAAAGCCCAGGGGAGGCCTTTGGACCCTTGGGAGGGCACAAACAGCCTCCCCCAGGCTCTGGAGATCCACCAGAAGCCGGAAACAGGAAATTCTGGTAACCCCGCCCACCATGGCCCCGCCCACCCAGTAACTGGGCAGAGAATTGGTTGCTTGGATGTTTGAATCCCACCCCTGATTGTAAGTCATATATTTCAGTTACAACTTTGAACGTTCACTAAACAAACTGTTGTAAGTCGAGGTCTACCTGTATTTGCCAATAGGCCCTGTTGGGAGATGGAGATGTCACATAAGTGGGTTTAAAGCCATAAATATCTCAAGTTACCTCGCAGCGAGCGATCTCGGAACAACAATAGTGATCCTTGTCCACTCTTCAAAATCTCCCGCGTAATACATGGTTGGTGCCGTCAATTCCCTGGTGCTCCCTTCGCATCCTTTCACGCCGGGGGATGCTGGGAAGCAGCCCTCCTTCACCAGCGACCAAGACAAGCCGGCATCGTGGGAATACTGGAGAAGAACTGGAGCCGAGCTACTGAACTGATCCGTGCATCCAATGTTCAGCTGCGAAGTTGAAAACATGTTGAAGGTGTAAGAGGAAAACAGAAGTGTTAAACTGCAGGGGTCTTTCAAACTTGACAGTTTTACGACTTGAAGACTTTGAACGTTCACTAAACCTTTTAGAATTCCTCCTCCAGTCATGTTAGTTCAGGAATTCTGGGAGTTGAAGTCCACAAGTCTTAAACTTGCAAGTTTGAAGACCCTTGTGTTAAAGCAATGACTTGTGTGACGCTTAACACCGATAGATACGAATGCGCACAAATCTGTTTTTAATTTTTGGATATGTACTTTTATTCCATTCCTTTTTTCATAATTGCTTGAATATTTTTTTAAAATCACATATACCTAAACCTTTTTGTTCTCTTTAAATGCACAAGTGTGTATAAATAACAGATAATCAGAGTTGGAAGGGACCTTGTAGGCCATCTAGTCCAACCCCCTGCCCAAGCAGGAGACCCTATGCCATTTCTAACAGATAGGAATCCAATCTCTTCTTAAAAGTCTCAAGTGATAGCACTCACACAACTAGTTGGTTGATTCAGAGGTGGTATTCAGCAGGTTCTGACCAGTTTTGGAGAACCGGTAGCAGAAATTTTGAGTAGTTGGGAGAACCGGCAAATACCACCTCTGATTGGAGATTTTACAGTATCCTTCCCCTGCTATGCCCACCAAGCCATGCCCACAGAAGGCAAGGTCTACAATGGTGGGATGCTTACGGTTCTCACTGGTTCTAGCGATCCAGTTGCACCCGTCAACAGTCGGCCCCTGCCCTTTCTTGTCTTATATTTCCTTTGTTTGTAGCTCAGCTGATTTGCGTGGCAGAGCGGATTGCTGCACCTCAGATGTTTTAATCACTAGCACTGATGATAAGGTAAGTATTCAAGCTTAAAATTGCTGCTTTTAGAACATTCCGCACACGCACAAAGCACACACCCACAGAACCGGTAGTCAAAAAGTTTGCATCTCTCGTGGTTCGCCGGCAGCCGATGCAGACGGCAGCAGAATCGGACAGTGGGGAAGAATCGGGACCAGTCAGGGAGTCTGGAGAGGACTCGGACAAGGGTCCTGTGTCTGATGCAGGGATGGGGCCAGGACCATCTGAGAGTGGGGTGCTGACTCTGGAGCCTGGCAGCAGTGAGGCAGAGGATCCAGGGGAGCCTGTTCCCAGTGCACATGTGCGCAGAGCTGCTAGATGGTAAGAACAGCTGAAACAAAACGGCTGGGAGGTGATTGCCCCTCCCATAAGAGATAAAAGTCAGGCCAAGGTGATGAAACCTTTGCAGGAAGGAAAGTAGTTTGATTGGTTCCGAGTGATCCTTGAAGCTCTTTGTACTTTGATTGTTTTTTCTTGTACTTCGGTTGGTTTCTTTTCTAGTTAATTGGATACTTCTGTTTTGGCAGCACTTCACAGAACTGAAAGGTGTGTGCTTATCTTGGGGGAATGTTTGAGATTAATTCCGGCTGGGAATGAAAGAAATTCCCAGCGTTGCAATAAAATAGGTTTTGTTTTTAAAACAAGTTTGTGAATAATTATGGTTTACGAAGCCTGGTTCTGAACAGCAACACCACTGGAGGTCTACCTGTACTTTGTACAGTTTCAGGATAATGAATTGACTTTTATTCCAACTGAAATCTTAGCATTATTCTAAAGATTGCAGTGCATTTTGTAAAAAGATCTTAAGACAGGCACATGTGACCGTGTTTTATGGACTACATTAGGGAAAACTTGCAACAAACATTACATGCAACAGAATGTTTCTCAGTTTGTATATCATTTTGTCAATGCAATGTCAAAACAGAGTGATATTATTTTACAAGTCCCCCTGTGGCTGCCAGCTCCCCCTATTTATAGAAGAGTGGGAATTATATTTGAAAACGTGCTTGTAAACATACGGTGTTTTTTTAAAAAATAATTTTGTTTGTACATTATTCTGTGCCCACGGTTGCGCAAGCCTCATGTATTTGTCGACAGCTCGTTACATTTCTAGTGCAATCAATCCCAAGAATTTCCAGAAGAATTTAATTATGGACCCAATGAAAGGCTGATGGCAACTAAGACAGTGAAGCTTGCTTAACATGGCTCAGCTTTTGTTAGAATCTAACATTATTCTGGGGGAAATAGAAAGGTGGTGGGATTCGGTGGTGGGATTCAACTAATTTAAGAACCGGATCGCCCAGGGTCAGGTTGGTTGTTGTGGGAGACATGGCCCATCCTCATCCTCCAGCTCCACCGCACATGGGGGGGACGAGCCTCCTGCGATGGCCAATCTGACTATGGGAGAACTGGTTGTTAAATTAACCACCACCAACCTGCCTGGCTATCAGTGGATCCTGGGCGCTGTGCTGCAATGAAGAAACAGGCAATGGAGCGGCCGGCATGAGGGAAGGAGGAGGCACAGGGAGAAGAAAGGGAAAGCGGCCTTCTCCTTCCCTCGCGCCGGCTGCTCCATTACCCGTTTCTCCATTGCAGCGCCGTGCCTAGGATCCATTTTGACAACGGAGTGCTGGTGGTGCCCATGGCATTATTCTAACACAAGCAATCAATCCCAAAGGTGTTTTTTTCTTTCAGGAGGCAACTGAACTTCCTGGTTTTTTCTTTTGAAGATGTTTCCCTTCTCATCCAAGAAGCTTCTTCAGCTCTAACAGAACAGTGGGGAATAGAAGGATTTATACTTCTTGCAGACAGCTGGTCATTTGCATCCTTTTAGAAGGTCATTGAGGCCACTTGGAGGTTTATCTGTGTCCTCAGGGTCACCTGAGTGGCGATCCTGTTCTCGTAGTCTGCAATTTTTCTCTGGAAATCCATTCCTACTCTCATACCTTGCGTCTTCATCCAAAATTGTATAGCTAAAAGTTTGTAGAAATTCTCAGTCATTCTGGTCATGGTTGCCCCAAAGATGTTTTTTCAGGAGGCAACTGGACTTTCTTGTTTTTTCTTTTGAGGATGTTTCACTTCTCATCCAAGAAGCTTCTTCCGCTCTGACAGAACAGTGAAGAACGGAAGGATATCCTGTCAGAGCGGAAGACGCTTCTTGGATGAGAAAGTTCAAATGTTCAAAGCCTTTAATTGTCATTGTACATCATAGTATAAAATGGAACTGTTTTAGCCTCTACTGGTGCAGTCCATACAGGAATGCAAAACAACATGAATAATATAAAGAATAATCCCTATACAAGTGGTTAGCAAAAAAAATTAGTCATATGTTTCCATATGTACGTCATATTCTGCAAAACATGTGTATTACTCTGGTGTAAGATCTTATATTGTGGTATATACCAGTGATGGCTAACCTTTTCCTCATCGCGTGCCGAAAGTGTGTGTGCGTACCTCCAAGCATAATGCAATGTATATACGACCCCTGCCCCCTGCGCATGCATGTGTAACTCCCCTGCGCCCCCGCCCCTACACATGCGTGCGCTCCTCCCCCCATGTGCACCTCCCTCCGTGCATGAGCAGCAGACACTCAACAATCAGCTGGCTGGGGGGGAATGCATGCGCACATGCGCAGTGGCGCTGTTGCCGGCAGAAATGGCTCTGCATGCCAGTTCCGGTATGTGCGCCATAGGCTCACCATAAGGGGTATATACATATTACACACTACACTAGCACCAGTGAAATTCGTCATATTAATCTGTTTGTGATGCTATATTGTGTTTAGGAGATCTGACAGCCCAGTTTTTAAATCTGTTTGTCCGGCTGGCTATACTTTTGTGTATTCTGCCCAATGGTAAAAGGTAAAAGAAAAGAGACACTGGCCAGGGTGTGAATCAGACGTCTTTGAAAGAAAAAACCAGAAAGTCTACTTGCCTCTTGAAAAAGCACCTTTGGGACAACCTGGATGAAATGAGAATCTCTACAGGCTTTTAGCTACAACTAATCAATATTTTTTCAATCCTACTTCTTCAAAATCCAACTTTTGCTTCCCCAGAATATCACACAGACACATCATAATATCTGAATATTTACCCCCAATACATTCATTGCTATACTACCGATTTATTAATTGCTCCTAATTTTTCCTTTGGCTTTTACACCATACTTATTTTATAGAGCAAGATTTGATCTTTTGAAAGAAGTTGGAAAAGGGCTCAGTACAAAGATCAGAAAGAGAAATTTAAAATAAAAACATTCAAATTTGGTGTTTTTTTTTTCATAATGGACAATTTGTAATCTTACTGTCGACGTGTCGGCTTTTTATATGTATAGCTTAAGAGAATTACTCGTCTTTTAATTTAAAAAGTTTAAAGAGAGAGAGAGAGGTTGAGAGAGAAAATACCTTGAATTGAAGGACGTAACCTGGTTTCAGCACTAAATCCCGGGTCACTGCAAACCGATCGCCATCTGACTTGCCAAATATCATTGCTGATGGAGTAGCCGAACAAAACGTTTCATTTTTGGGCATCCCTTCATTCGCTAACATTAGCCACATGCTGAGCTGGTTTATGGGGTAATCAAAGGCTGGTTTCTCATAAAAGTTCTAGTTGATATTAAAAAGAAAGGAAACATTTGTTTATTTGTTCATTCATTCATTCATTCATTCATTCATTTATTTATTTATCACACTTGTATGCTGCCCATCTTGTCAAAGGTGACAAGGCAGCTCCTAGACATTGAAGAAAATGAAAAGAAAGAAAACTTGGTACGAATAAATGGGGACAATAGGGCAGGGAGGGTAGGCACGATTCTGCACTTATGCACGCACCTTACAGACCTCTTAGGAATGGAGTGAGGTCAATAGTGGATAGTTTGAGGTTAAAGGATTTGAGGTTAGAGGATGTAACAACAGGGTCAGGTAGTGCATTCCCAGGCATTGACCACTCTGTTGCTGAAGTCGTATTTCCTGCAATCAATCTTATTACCTGAGGCAGGGTGGGGTTAGCCACAGGGATGATCTGTTTCAGCTTTTCGGACAGAATGATGATGTCATCAATAGCCCACTGATCATAGCCCTCTCCCGAAAACACCGGCTGCCACCAACGGAATCGAGTGCAGGGGGTCTTTGCAGCAGGAGGGAGCTCCAGATAGACAAACCTAGAGGCAGACATTCCTCAGGTGTTAAAAAGCTAGGTGTAGGATGCAGACAAACACATGCATGCAAGTAAAAAGGATACCAGGGGAAAAATTGTTTCAACCAAACCAAGTTAAAATACAGATAATAAAAATTGCAACTGCTATCTTTTCCATTTCATTTAAGACCATAGGTAGTCCTATCCCACATCTGATACCTGTACAATTAGCACAGGGGCCCCTCAAGGCTGTGTGCTTTCTCCACTTCTCTTTTCCCTATATGCCAATGACTGCATCTCAAATGATCCATCTGTTAAAATACTGAAGTTTGTAGATGATACAACAGTGATTGCTCTCATTCGAGACAATGATGACTCCACATACAGACAAGAGGTTGTACAACTTGCCTTGTGGTGTGACTGGAAGAATCTGGAACTGAACGCACTCAAAACCATAGAAATGGTGGTAGACTTTAGAAGAAACCCTCCCATACTGCCATCTCTTACAATACTAGACAACAAAGTATCAACAGTAGAGACCTTCACATTTCTAGGTTCTATTATATCACATGACCTAAAATGGACACCTAACATCAAAAACGTCATCAAAAAAGTACAACAAAGAATGTTCTTCCTGCGCCAACTCAGGAAGCTCAAACTGCCCAAGGAGCTGCTGATCCAGTTCTACAGAGGAATTATGGAGTCTCTCATCTGCACCTCTATAACTGTCTGGTTTGGTTCTGCAACGCAACAGGACAGACACAAACTTCAGAGGATAATTAGGACTGCAGAAAAAACAATTGCTACCAACCTGCCTTCAGTCGAGGACCTGTATCCTGCACAAGTCAAAAAGAGGGCTGTGAAAATATCTACAGGCCCCTCACATCCCAGACATAAACTGTGTCAACTCCTACCCTCAAAATGACGCTATAGAGCCCTGCACACCAGAACAACTAGACACGACAGTTTTTTCCCCAAAGGCCATCACTCTGCTAAGCAAATAATTCCCTCAACACTGTCCAACTATTTACTAAGTCTGCACTACTATTACTGTTAATCTTCTCATCACTCCTTATCACCCATCCCCTCCCACTTCTGACTGCATGACTGTAACTTTGTCACTTGTATCCTTACAATTTATATTGACTGTTTTCCTATGATTTGATTACCTATTTATATCCTGTGATACTATTAAGTGTTGTACCTGATGATTCTTGTATCTTTTCTTTTATGTACGCTGAGAGCATTTGCACCAAAGACAAATTCCTTGTGTGTCCAATCACACTTGGCCAATAAAGAATTCTATTCTTCTATTCTTGACTTACAACCATTTGTCTAGGGACCATTGGAAATTACAACGGCACTAAAAAAAGTAACTTAAGCACCGTTTTTCATACATACAAACATTGCAGCATCCCCATGGTCACATGATTAAAATTTGGGTGCTTGGCCACTGGCACCTATTTATGATGGTTGCAGCATCCTGGGGTCATGTGATCCCCATTTATAACCTTCTAAGTTGGCTTCCAATGACTAAAGTCAACGGGGGAAGCCAGATTTGCTTAATGACCATATGATTCACTTAACAACTGCAGTATTTCCCTTAACAATGGCCAAAAGAGGTCATGAAATAGGGCAAATTGATTTTACTGTCTTGCTTAGCAATGGAAATTTTGGGCTCCATTGTGGTTGCAGGCTGAGGACTACCTGTACACAATAAAAAGGAAAGTGGTGAGTCAGAAAAAGGAGACCTTTTAATGTGGTTTCAAAATGATAAGGGTGTTAATATATCAATTAATTTGAAACAGTAAATTAAACCTAGGCTATATGGAATCGTATCATATGACGCAAGGCTACTTTGTAAGCTGATGATGTATAAAGTTCAACTCCACTTTACAATGCCAGGAATCTACTGTGCTTGTGCTAGTCCACAATATGTATTTAATTAGAAGTTTATCTGACTCGAAGGGCAGCTGTTTGCAGTTAAAAAAAAAACAGTTGGGCTATAATGTTTGGCTGAAAGACGGCAGTACTCCTTGTGTACTGAACCTGTACAATTCTAAAAAGCTCACGGATACATTATTATTATTTATTAAAGTCATATGCTGCTCACCTCACTGTTGCAGCCAATCTGGCTTATGTAAAGGTTAAAAGATAACATGGAAGAATTTGCCAAGCGCAAATAACCAGGAACGTTCATTGAGTTCAAATATAGAAAAGTTTATTATTGCCACCTATTCACAAGAGTCTGGTCAAATAAGGGTGAAAGCTAAATTGATGCTTAGATAAGGCTCAATGGAATTCAAGAGGGGGCTGGAATTGGGTGTCTTGTGGTTATGCAGTGACTTCAAACTGATGACATGTTTAACTCCACCTTCCAGCTCAGCCTGGCTTCTCCCACACAATTACAACTACGAAAGATTAAATTTAAAAAAAAACTTAAAAACAAGAAGAGAGGAGGGATATGGGGGAGGATTGTCTCTCTATATTAGGGGTCTTCAAACTTGGCAATTTTAAGATTGGTGGACTTCAATTCCCAGAATTCCCTAGGCAGCCATGCTGGCTGCGGGATTCTGGGAGTTGAAATCCATAAGTCTTAAAGTCACCAAGTTTGGATTCCATTGTTCTATACCATGTGTGTGTGTGTCAAACTGGATTTAATTGAGGGCCCTATCCGGGTTTGGTTTGACCTTGGGGGACTGGGGTGGCTGTGGCCAGGATGGGCATGGCCAGCTTGATGTCACGCATGTTGGGGGTACCTGTAGTGGCCCAAGCATCCTGCCAGCGAAAACGGGCTCCCGAGCTCTGTTTAAGGCTGCGATGGCCTCCTGCAATCCTCTACCAGCGAAACCGGAGCTCAGGAGGGCAAAGGACCAGCCCGCAGTGTCTCTGCCAGCAAAAATAGAGCCATCCTGAGCTCCATTTTTGCTGGCAGAGGCACTGTGAGTCGGTCCTTTGCTGTTTCCAGGATGGCCCCACGGGCCAGATCTAAGCACCCCATAGGCCGGATCTGGCCCCCGGGCCTTGACACCCCTGCTCTATACCATCAGCCACCTCCAGCATAGAGAATCCCTACTGGGTCCCCAAACTGGCTGGCAGAGTCAGGTTTTCAGGTTCTTCTGGAAGGCCAGGAATATGGGGGGCCAACTTCCCCTCCAATGGGAGAATATTCCAGAAGGGAGGGGCCACGGCAGAAATGGCTCTTCCCCTGGACCTCCCAGATGACATATTTAGCCAATGGGATCCAAAGCCGGAACGAGTGGGATGGGCCAATCCTCAGATAGGAAGGTAAGGCTAATCATGCTGTTGTAGGTAGACATCAAGACTCTTCCACAATACCTGGACTTGCTGAAGTCAGAGAAGTACATTTCTGCCAGGGCATGCCAGTTGATGCCTCCATTGTTGCTGTACTGCAAGAGGACTCCTTCTTCTCGGCTGTCTGGTTTGTTGCAGGCAGGACTCTCTCCGCCGATCTGAATGTAAAACTGGACAAAGTCTACCCAGGTGGTGTCCAGGTCCAAGCTCACCAACTGTCTCTTCCCAGCCTGGAAGCATAGAAGGAACAAGGAGAAAAAAAGCATTGTTGTTGTTGATGATGATGTTATCTAACCTCACACAGTGGACAGTACAAAGTAGTAAAATTCACAAGGAGACTCAAATTGTAAGTGTGACCATGTGTGTGAGAGGTTCTCTCTCTCTCTTTTTGTCTCAATCTCTCTTTCCCTCTCAACCTCTCTTTTTCTCTCAGTCTCTCCTTCTCTATCAACCTCTCTTTCTCACTCAGCCTCTCTTTTTCTCTCTTTCTCTCTCAGCCTTTCTCTCTCAATCTCTTTTAGCCTCTCTTTCTCTCTCAATCTCTCAACTTCTCTATCAAACTCACTTTCTCACTCAGCCTCTCTTTCTCTCTCAATCTCTCCTTCTCTCTCAACCTCTTTTTCTCTCTCAGCTTCTCTTTCTCTCTCATTCTCTCAACCTCTCTATCAACTTCTTTCTCACTCAGTCTCTCTCTCTCAGCCTCTATTTCTCTCTCAATCTCTCTCTCAGCCTCTCTTTCTCTCTCAGCCCCACTCTCAATCTCTCAATCTCTCTCTAACAACCTCTTTCTCAGTCTCTCTCTCTCTCTCTCTCTCTCAATTTCTCTATCAACCTCTTTCTCACCCAGCCTCTCTCTCTCAGTCTCTCTTTCGTTCTCTTTCTCTCTTTCTCCATCTACCTACCTACCGACAGATTTGGCCCCTGTTGGGTTCATGTCAATGAAACTGTTGGTTTAGCTAAGGAAATGTAGATGAATTGACTACATAAGCACTTTAAAAGTTATGCAAGCATGATTTTTATCCTCTTTTTACAATGATGGATATTTTTCCTATTCAGATTATGAATAGACCCATCTAGGAGAAAAAGTGAGAGCTATTTCATCTTTTAGAAAATGACATATTAAAAAGTGTTCATTTTAATTATTTATTATTGTTATTTCAAAATACATAACAATATGGCTGGCTGAAGAATTCTGGGAGTTGAAGTGCACGAGTTTTAAAGTTGTCTGTATCGAAATGACTAAACTTTCAGGGATCATTTCTATAGTATCCAACTAGAGAAATGCACTCAAACACTGGAGGCTTTCAAGAAGACATTGGAATGCCATCTGTCAGAAATGGTGTGGTCTCCTACTTGGGCTGGGGGTTGGACTAGATGACCTACAAGGTCCCTTCCAACTCTGTTAATCTAAAAGTGATTGGCTGATCTATATTGCTTCGGTCCATGGTTTCCTATTCACCATATTCTTTCATTATACACAGCTAATTTTCTATTGCCAAATGTAAATTGGTAGAATACAATAGGGATATTATTTTAAAATATAATCTGACTTTAGAACTACCTAAAATATGAATCAAATGAAAAGTAACAGCAAGACCTAAGTTGATGTTTTCCTTCATCAAAGACTGTATAATTTCTTTCTTCCACTTTCTCTTTCACTGAAGAAAATCTGGTCTTTGATAGGATGATCTATATATTAGTGAACATGACATGATATTCTGGCTCTGGGTTCAAGCTGTGTGCATTTCCTAAGATAAACCAGCTATCTTGTTCCCCATGTAAACAGCCGAAATGCAATTCCAGATAGAATTGTTATCACTGTCGAAGCCTAAAATACAAAATCTCCTTTACCAGTGAGATGAATCATCACATCATTAGGTTTTAATTTTTTTCTTTTTTACAAAACAAAAAGACTAATTATTAAAATCACAATGTGAGGGGAGGAGATGAATTAAAAGAAGAGCACCCTGCCAAGAACCTTACATCCATAAAAAATAAAATTGCAGGCATTATAATGTAGAATTGCATTCTGAGTTGAAAGGTTGCAACCATTTCTTGCACAGTTTTTTTTAAAGAAAAATTATCTTTTAAAAATAATATGCCTAGGACAGCTGCCTGTAAAAAAAAAAAGTCTTTGATTAAAAATATCTCAGTCAGGCTGTTGCCAAGGTTAGTGACAGTGAGTGAAGCTTTAAAGAGGATATACCCAACACCTGCACCCTACAGATTAAGGAACTGCCTCCGACGCATCCAAGGAGCTTCTGAGGATTAACAATAATTGTTCACCCCTCAAACTGTGTATATCATCAAACATTAGAGCCACACAATCAATCTCTGACATCTGTTGGGAGCTCGCTGAGACAGACAGCCATGGCTTTCCGCGGCGTTCCTCAAGCGGCGCACAACAAGGGAAGTGAAACTCACACCCTGTTTCTTTCATCACGCTCGAATGTCAAAGAATAAAGGGTGAGAATGCACGACCTTGGACAACCGCAAAAGCAAGACTTTCATTGTTGTTTGTGAGCGAGTCTATCTATTCAGGTAGGAGGAGCGAATTAGGAGTGGCTGGAACCACTTTTTCTCAAGAGTGCAAACTGAAGAAGGGCTTGCTGGTTTTTGTCGTCCCCTCCCCGCACAAATAAATGGGACACCGAAACATCCGCTTTTGTTAGCTGTGGTTTTAAGTGCTTTTTCCTTTCTAAGCTTCATCGGGTTTTCTGAGCCATAATCCGAGCGACAGGTCTACGTTTAAGACACAGCCATCTGCTGGCCTTATCACCTTCCCATCTGCAGGTTCTCATAAGTGATGATCCAGCTGCCCCCATTTTCTCTTTAGAGCCACTTCCTTCTCCTCCAAATTTCATGCTCTGGAGCAGGGGTCTCCAACCTTTTGAACCTCAGAGACCACCAATCTCATAATTTTAAATCCCGTGGACCAGAGACCCTGGGAAAATCCCCCAAAAAGTCTGCAGGAAAATTCCCCACCCCATTTTCCTACTGATTGATCATTCTTTATTTGGGATTGCAGGATATTGTCTCCAGCTCCATTCTCATGGGGAGAAAGAGAGAGAGAGACTTTGGGCTTCACGCAAGGAAAGCAGCAGAAGCAGCAAAAGTCTTTCTTTCTCTCCCCCAAACTCTGCCAGAAATGAATCTTTGCTGGCACAGCCTCTTGGAGCAGGAGGCCATGCAGGGTCCCAAATATTCATTTCTGGCAGAGTTGGGGGGAGAGAAAGAAAGACTTCTGCTGCTTTCCTTGTGTGCAGCCAAAAGCAGAAGAAGAAAGAAGCAGAAAGAAGCAGCCCGGTGGCCAGGCCAGGCATATGGGTCAAGTGGGGCAAGTTCCCCCCCTTCGCCCTTTCCCCCCTCCCCTCTCTACCTCGTGTTGTTCACAATGCAAGCGACGCAAGCCTTGTGTTCCCGCGCAGCCTGGATTAATTGCTGTGGGGGGTGCTTTGGGGATGACATTTCTCTGCGGACTACCAAAATTTTCTCGTGGACTACTGGTGGTCCCTGGCGCACTGGCTGGTGACCACTGCTCTGGATGAAATGTTTTGCTTGCTTTCTCCATCACCCAGACATCTCTTTCAGCTCACTTTATAACTCTGTTCTCTTCTCTTCTCTTCTTTGTTGTTCAATGACTCCATCATCCCTTGCAAGGTGGAGTCTGGGCAACTGAATGGAGCTGAGTGTTTACTGGCCAGATGCCCTTCTTGTCGCCGATTTGGAGTTTTTTCGCCAGCAGATACATTCTCATTGTGCCCAGAGAGAGAAATATCTGCCTCTACCTAGGATCAAATTCACAGCCTCCTGATTGTGAGGTGAGAGCTCCACCTTCTAGGCACCACACTTTATGACTCTGTCCTCTGATGAAGGAGATAGGTAACGGGGATAACTTTCATAGTTAGGTGGTCCTCAACATATGACCAGAATTGAGCCCAACATTTCTGCTGCTCTGTGAGACATTGGCTAAATGAGTTTTGCCCCATTTTATGACAGTTCCTGCCACAGTTGTTAAGTGAATCATGGCAATTGTTGAGTTAGTGACATGGTTGTTAAGGAAATCTGGTTTCCCCCGTGACTTTGTTTGTTGCAAAAGTGGATCACATCACCGCAGGACTCTGCAACCATCATAAATATGAGTCTGTTGAATTTTGATCACTGCCACGGTTGTAAGTGTAAAGAAAAAGGTCATAAGCCACTTTTTTCAGTGCCATTATAGCTTTCAATGGTCACTAAATGAGCTATTGTAGCTGTTATGCCTATGAGTTTGAGTGAGAAAGTTATAGCTATTCCTGTGAGACTGGTTGCTGCAGCTTCGAGGCTTCCCAGTTGGAAGAAGGAAGGGGCCACATACCAAACTGCACTTGGACTGACCGTTAGGCAAACATCTTGTCTGAACGTTATTGGTTACACTGGGATGGACAAGGAGAGCCAGTTAAGGGAAGGAAAAGTAGGATTTAAAGAGACATTGGAGTGCAATTCTCAGTTCTGGCTTTGCAAAACAGCAGTACATTTGATCTCTAATAAAACTATACCTTTCTCAACAAATGGAGCCACTGCACACCAGAACAACTAGACAGAAAGACAGGTTTTCTTCCCCATGCCATCACTCTGCTAAACAGCTAATTCCCACAACACTGTCAAACTATTTAGTAAGACTGTATTAATATTATTCTTCCCAACTTTCCCATTACCTATCTCCTTTTAAACTTATGTCTATAATTTTGTTGCTTGTATCTTTACAATTTATATTGTTTTATTTAGTTGTTATTGTTTTATTATTTTATTTCATAATATAATTTATGTTGATTCTATCACTGTGTTGCATCTTAATGACTTATGATGAATGTATTTTTATGATGAGTATGATTTATCACTCATAGCTTTTATGTACAATGAGAACGTATGCACCAAAGACAAATTCCTTGTGTGTCTAATCACACTTGGTCAATAAAGAATTCTATTCTATTCTATTCTATTCTATTCTATTCTATTCTATTCTATTCTATTCTGTTCTGTTCTGTTCTGTTCTGTTCTGTTCTGTTCTGTTCTGTTCTATTCCTATTCCATTCCCATTCTTATTCCATTCCTATTCTATTCCATTCCATTCCCATTTAATTCTTATTCCTATTCCTATTCCCATTCCCATTCCTATTCCTATTCCTTGCCATCCTATTCCTATCCTATTCCTATCCTATTCCTATTCTGTTCTATTCTGTTCTATTCTGTTCTATTCCGTTCCGTTCCGTTCCGTTCCGTTCCATTCCATTCCATTCCATTCCATTCCATTGCATTGCATTGCATTGCATTGCATTGCATTGTATTGTACTCTACTCTACTCTACTCTACTCTACTCTACTCTACTCTACTCTACTCTGTTGTGGCAAATCCGACATTCCCAAGTTAAAACATTCAAGCCCAAAAAGTAAAACGAGGGAAGAAAGTCTTCTTTGTGTTTTATGATCTATGCCATTCTGCTACCTTTCTTTCTTAATCGCATTATATTGAGTGAATGGATAGATATACCTTGTTGAAATAAAGAGAGGATCCAGAAGAGATCACTCCGCAGCCTTGTTCTGGTTTTACAATCTCTCCACCAATGACTTCCTGCCATTCTTTTTCCAAAGTGTTGGGATTCTCAAAATCAGACATTATTGTTGAAGGCAGATTATTTTCAGGGTGGCATTCAGTACCTTGGTATCCAGAGTCACATCTGCGGAGGAGAACAAACACATTGTATGCCCGTGAAGCTATCAATACAGCACAAACAAGTGAACATCCAAGTGCCTTTTGATGGGAACATGTGTAACGTATTTACATATATCTTTGTTATCTATCATCTAACAGAGTCATATAGATCAGGGGTCTCCAACCTTGGCAACTTTAAGACTCGTGGACTTCAACTCCCAGAATTCCTCAGCCAGCTTTGCTTTGCTGGCTGAGGAATTCTGGGAGTTGAAGTCCACAAATCTTAAAGTTGCTAAGGTTGGAGACCCCTGATATAGATGGCTTGTCACACTAGATCATCATCTCCATTTAATGACCCCATATAATCCCTTGAGGGGTGGAGTCTAGGCAACTGAAGGGAGCTGAGTGTTTGCTGACCAGATGCCCTTCCTGTTGCCAATACGGAGTTTTGTTCAGCATATACATTCTCAGTGTGCACAGAGAGAGAAATATCTGCCTCTACCTAGGATCAAACTCATAGCCTCCTGATTGTGAGGCGAGAGCTCCACCTCTAGGCCACCCCACCACTCGCTTGTCACACTATAAGAGGTGAGCAAAATGTAAGGTTTGCTCCTCTATAATCCAAAATCTCATTCAGTATACAGGTAATCTTCGACTTACGATCACAAAGAAGCCCAAGATTTCCCTTGCTAAGTGAGATAGCTGTTCACTGAGTTTTGCCCCATTTTACAACCTTTCTTCCCACTGTTGTTAAGTGAATCACTGTACTTGTTAAGTTAGTAACCGGAGTCTTAAGTGAAACTGGCTTCCCCATTGACTTTGTTCAACAGAAGGTTGCAAAAGGGGACCCCCTCCCTGGGATGCTGAGATCGTCATAAATATGAATCAGTTGCTAAGTGTCTCTAATTTTGATCGCGTGACCCTGGAGATGCTGCAACAGTTGTTAAGTGTGAAAAATGGCCATCGGTTACTTTTTTCAGTGTCGGTGTAAACTCTGAATGATCCCTAAAGAAACTTACAACGGCATTGGAAAAATAGTCACACATGACTGATTCTCACACGTACGACTGCTGCAGCATCTCTGGGGGTCATGTGATCCAAATTCAGACCCTTGGCAACTGGCTTATATTTATGGTGGTGGCAGTGTCATCCCAAGGTTCGCGACCCTCATTTGCAACCTTCCCAGCCAGCTCCCGACAAGCAAAGTAAATGCAGGAAGCCAGATTCTGTCATGTCCCTATCGGAGTCTGAATCTGAGAAGGAAGTTGAACATCCGTCGGGGAGCAGGGGAGTGGCTCCATTGGCTGTGGAGGAAACTGGGGAAGAGCAAAGTCAGGCTGGGCAGAGCAGGGGAGAGGTAGAACAAAGGAAAGGGAGTTCAGAGGAAGACCAAGGCCCAGCCCCTCTTCATCCTAGAGCATGCAGGGAAGAACGGAGAAGAGAGCAATGTGGGTTGCATGGCTTACGGGAGAGGAAAGGGCCCTGATTCCCTTCACAAGGTACACCTGGGGAGGGAGTTTAAAGGGGAATCAGTTGGGAGGGGCATTTGTCAGGAACAAACGTTGAGTTTATTTAATGTTGTCTGCTGTTAACTGAGTTCCTGGCATCCTCCCAACTGGTTTGATTTACTGCCGTGTTACTTCACTTCTGGAACTCCTTATTGTGCCCTGCCAGATTTATTATCGTATCTTGCTTTGTTGGATTTATAGTTTAAAGTTTTCTGTCTTTACCGTTTTGGATTGGAATATCTGCAGTCAAAGGCTGTTGCAGGTTCCTGGGAGAGTTTTTCTCCAGACCGGAAGGTAATCGGAACATTGGGGGCAAAGTTGGAGCTAATAAAGAGACCTCTACTTATTCTCTGGCTGGGTTGCCTTTGTGCCACGCCCTGGGTCATCGCGGATTCATTTTACAACCATGTCACTGACTTAAGAAACTCAGTGATTCATTTAATAACAGTGGCAAGAAAGATCGCAAAATGGGGAGAAGATTCACTTAACAGCTGTCTTGCTTAGCAACAGGAAGTTTGGACTGAGTTGTGGTTGTAAGCTGAGAATTACCTGTAATTGCAAAGAACAATGAATCAGTGGGACAACTTGACTCCAGAAGTTGTGAATGCTCCAACACTGGAAGTTTTGAAGAAGAGATTGGAGAACCGTTCGTCTGAAATGGTGTAGGGTTTCCTGCCTGAGCAGGGGTTGGACTAGAAGGCCTCCCAGATCCCTTCCAACTCTGTTCTTTTTCTCTAACAGCAAACAAACAGGAGATACCTGCAAAAGCCATGATCGCACCAGCCATGCCCGTTGCACATATTTGGGCACTGCTGTCCTATATAGATGTTGTCCAGGGCCCATTCATCTTGAGAGGTGTAATAGCATTGACTCCAGCGGAAACGTGTTGCACTGGACCTAGAAAGAAGAATTAAAAATTGTGCGGTCATTAAAAGCATTCACAAATCTGTGAGGAGGAGCTTACTAATCGTAATGAACTATGGTGGCGCAGTGGTCAGAGTGCAGTACTGCAGGCTACTTCTGCTGACTGTCAGCTGCCTGCAATTTGGCAGTTGAAATCTCACCAGGCTCAAGGTTGACTCAGCCTTCCGTCCTTCCGAGGTCGGTAAAATGAGGACCCAGATTGTTGGGGGCAAGATGCTAACTCTATAAACTGCTTAGAGAGGGCTGTAAAGCACTATGAAGTGGTATATAAGTCTAAGTGCTATTGCTACTCCTTCCTTCCTTCCTTCCTTCCTTCCTTCCTTCCTTCCTTCCTTCC